CCCAGCGGGGCCCCTCCAGGCGCTCAGCTGCGAGGGACGGCCGGCGCGGCATCCCGCACGCCCCTCCCCACCCCGGGCCATTCCCAGGGCGGTGGGCGGGGGAAACTCGGAGGATGGGCAGACACCGCCGCGCGCTCCTGTATGGAAAGAAATTCAAAGCCCGAAATGAAATGAAGGACTTTCTGGCATCACACAATCTCACGAGATTGAATCAGGAAGAAATGGACGTCCTCAATCGACCAACAGCACAAGGGAATTGACTCCAACACAAGAAAACTACCCACCAAAAAAAAAAAGAAAAGCAAGAGCAAAAAAAAATCCCTGGACCAGATGGTTTTCCAGCGGAATTATACAAAAGGCAGAACTCTCCCCAGGTGATTTTGTGAAGCTAACATCACATTGATACCCAAACCCGGCAAAGACCCAACAAAGAAAAAAAAACAACTACAGGCCAAATCCCTGATGAATATGGCTGCAAGAATTCTCCACAAGATTCTAGCAAATAGGATCCAACGACATATCTCAACAATTGTCCACCATGACCGAGTAGGCTTCATCTCGCAGATGCAGGACTAGTTCAACATCTGCAAGGTCATAAATGCAATTAAAGTCATCAACAGATGTGAAAATGAGAACCATGCGATTATATTATTAGATGCAGAAAACCCTTTTGACCAAATCCAGCATCTCTTCTTGATAAAAGCCCCCGAACACCTAGGTACAGAGAGAAAATACCCCAAAATAGTAAACCCACAGCCAACATATTACTAAATAAACAGAAATTGCAAGCATTTTCCCTGAAAACTGGAAAAAAACAAGGCTATCCAGTCTCACCCCTCCTGTTCAACAGTGTGTTGGAAGTCCTAGGTAGAGCAATCAGACAAGAGAAGGAAATCAGGGGTATCCCAGTAAGAAAAGAGGAAGTTAAGCTATCCCTCTTTGTGGATGATATGATTTTATATTTGAAAAACCCAAGGGAATCTATCAAAATCCTCCTTACACTGATAAAGGACTTTGGCAAAGTCTCAGGGTACAAAATCAATGTGCAAAAATCAGTTGCATTTTTATACACTGACAATAAACAGGCAGAGAAACAAAAACACAATCTAATTCACAATTGCCACACACACACACACACACACACACACACACACACACACACGAAATACCTTGGCATCTTCTCAACCAGAGAGTTGAAAGACCTTTATAATGAAAATTACAAAACACTGCTCAAAGAAATCAAAAAAGGCTCAAACAAATGGGAAAATATCCCGTGCTCATGGGTTGGAAGAATCAACATTATTAAGATGTCCAGCCTAACCAAGGCAATCTACAGATTCCATGCAATACTCATTAAACTATCATCAGCATTCTTCTCAGACCTGGAAATGACAACACAGAAATTTATGTGGAAGCATAAATGACCATGAATAGCCAAAAAATTCTCAACAAAAGAAACAAAATGGGAGGAATAGCACTTTTAGACTTTAAACTTTATTATAAGGCTACCATAATCAAAACAGCCTGTAATTGGTATAAGAGCAGGCATATAGACCAATGGAACAGAATGGAGATTCTGGAAGCAAAACCTCAATTTCTCAACCAACTTTTCTTTGACAAAGCTTCCATCAACAACAACTGGGGAGAGGAGAATCTATTCAGTAAATGATGCTGGGAAAATTGGCTGACCACATGCAGACTATTGAAACAGGACCCTTACCTATTGTCATACACAAAAATCAACTCTAAATGGTTCGAAGACCTAAATGTAAAAACTCAAACCATAATGATCTTAGAAAATGCAGGAGACATCCTTATAGAAATTGGGTAGGCAACCAATTCTTGATCAAAACCCCAAAAGCCCAAGCCATGAGAGTTAAGATAGACAAGTGGAACTCCATCACACTAAAAAACTTGTGCAAAGCAAAAGAAACTATCAAGACAGCAGGAAGACAGCCCAGAGAATCGGAAAAAAATTATTTGCTGACTGCATATCTGACAAGGGCCTAACATCCAGGATCCACAAGCAACTCAGATGTGCTGGGGAGGGAGAGGAACAGCCAACCAAAAAGCAACCCCACTAGAAAATGGGCAAAAGACATGAATAAACTCCAAAGAAGACATACGAACAGTCAACAGACCCATGAAAAAGTGCTCC